TATTATACATTTTGAAAACAAAGTTGTAATGATTTTTAATGGTTCGAAATGTTTTTAAAAGTTTAAATTGGTCTGAATTTTTGGGTGTTACATTTCAACATCGAGGCCTCTCATCATTTTATTTCATCTTTCATCATCTATTTCATATACCCATCTTTTCCCAACATATTGATAGATATAAAATACATATACAGTTTAAATCAAGTAAAACATGTATACATCGTTCAACCAGCATAGATATCAAGAACACAGATAATATGCACGTATAACACATAATTTATATTAAATATTTCATATCTATATGTAAGATGAAAGTAACTATGCACTCACTTGTTAAAATGATGACTCGAAATTCAGGCAGGACTTCACTTCTAACAATTGTCTTTTCCTTCGACGGAACCTAGTATTATTATTACTAAATTTTAGTCTAATATTTAATGCGACTAATTATTAGTCTAGAATTATCATTAACTCAAGTTCTACGTCATAATCTATCAAGTAAGGAACAACCATGTAGGATCATATCAGAGGTAGGATCCGTTTGGTATACGAAGTATACTGTTTGGAAAGCCCACTTTAAACACCTCACTAAATCACAACCTAGACATTATCCGCGTAAGTAGATCAATCAGTATAACGACTTTGAATCACTGATAAATCTTGTTTATAGGTTCATAATAACGATAATGAACTTAAACATAAGTTATACTTGAAGCATGGTAAGCATAACTCACTTACAAGGGGGTTTAGCGAGGAACCGGGCTCTGCGCGGGCAGAGCTTCTGAGCCGAAAGCTCTTTTTCTTGGAGCCTTTTGGTGCTCCGGGACTCGCCTCTAACACCTAGGAGGTGCTAGGGAAAAACTTAGAAGGTTTGGGAGAAGAGAAGTAGAAAGGTTGAAGAAATTGAGAAACTGACCAACACTATGCGTTCTGAGCCCAACACGACGTGTTGGAATGCCAAGTGTCACCATCTGGTGGCAAGGCATGGGGAAGAAGCTGTGGCTGAGATGGTGCCACGTGCCAGCCTCGCAACTTAACCCATATTTTAATTATTTTCTAAATTCCGTAACTTTCGCATATAAGCTCCGTTTTTTATGTTCTTTATATCCACGTGTAGGTAGCGACGTGATCTACAACTTTCGTTTAGACCCCGTCGGCTAATTTTGATTTTATTTGTTAAAGTTATATTTTAATAGGCTTAGACAGTTAAAGTCCGTTAAAAATTCATAATTTTGTCATCCGACGTCCATTTTCGGTTGTCTTTATATCATTGAGCTCCTATTAATGAGATCTTCTATTCTCATTTCGGTTGTGTCGGCTAAAAATCGACCGATCTAAAATTTGATTTCCGGGTTGTGTACTGTTAGGTTAAATCTTAGAAAAATCATAACTTCTTCAAACGAAGTCAGATTTGGACGTTCTTTTTTTTATGTACGTTCTCGGTTTAATGTATACTACGACTTTTGTTTAGATTGCTAAGGTTAAAAAATAGTTTATCAAAAATTTACTTTATACGATACGCGGCGCCGTGCCGGTTTAGTCGTAAAACTTCAACGAGTCATAACTTCTTCGTTATAAGTCGGATTTTAGCGTTCCTTATATCCCCGAAATCCTTGTTACGACTACTTCAACTTTCTTCATAGATATTGGGTCTATCTATTATTTTATTTTTGACGCATATTTTTGTTATTATTTTATTATATCATTATAAGCACATATGTAGCACATAAATCACATAATACTCAAATAATTCATCTTCATTACTTCAAAATAAGTTACAATTGTTGACCCTAACTATTACATCATTATAATAATGCTTAGCCAGAAACGCAGACATTACAAGAACTCAACCCAGGATGCTAATTGATCACTAGTTTGATCGAGGATAAGTGGGACACCATTCTTTATGTTGGTGACAACAAAGGCATGATGGAATGCTGATTTCTGAGACTAATCACCACAGAATTTGAGGGTTTCTGGTGTTTTGGGGATATCATCGGCTCCTTAAATGGTGGCTGTACAAAGAAGAATGCAATCGACAGAAGGGGAGGAGAGAATCGAAGGATCAAGCTGCAAGCTCTGATACCATAAAGGTTATACATAAATATTACTTCTTTATGGAAATACAATGAGTATATATATACAACACGTGCAAGCATTACATGTAAGGATAATCTAGAATTCAAATAATGATCCAAATCACAAACGATTGGATTGCCATCTATCCTATTCTCCTATTCTGAACTAATCCTAATCGGTTTATATCAACCATAATATATTTTTTTTTCAATTATTATTTTTAAGATAATGTAATTATTAATGTAATATGTTTTTCACTTAAATATGTTTTTCAACAAAAGATTAGATATTTGTTTACATGTTTTCATAACCTATCATTGATCCAACGGTGGTATATATTTATTTGATGAAATAAACCTATAAACCAAGTGTCATGTACATTACAAAGATAGTTTGAGACAGTGACGAATCTAGAACAAAAAGTTACGTGGTTCCTCATACAGAATTAGATAGGTATTTTATATTTTTCAATACTAGAAGGTAGGTCCTAATATAAGTTTCTATATAATTTCTATAAAATATTAAAACATAGGTAGGTCCTAGGACCCACCTGAAGTATATGTGGCTACGCCAATGGTTTGAGATAATACTTTTTTGGTATAGCTAGATGTTTTTTTTGAACGACAACCATATATAATGAACGCAAGCTAACTAAACGCTAGCAAAAATATGAACATAATACAAGTTAAGGCGTTATTTTGGATGTTGCAATCACGCAATCCTATATAGTTAATAGTTGATATTGGTACCACATATTTTAATAAGTTCGTTGTAGTGGACTAGAGATGATTGTTAAACTCATCATGCCTTTATTGTAATCATACAAAATATTACAGAATTTGTATCGTTATTCTCCTAATTTGAGGTTTTACAGTTAAAAAAAAGAAATAAAAGAATTTAATATGCAATATTCAAAACAAAACACACATCTTCATCATAAAATACAAGGAAATCCACATTATCGCCTCATACATTAAAGCCATGATTTTGACATTTCAATTCTCTCTATCACAATTTTCAAATCACGTTGAAGATCTGTTCTTGTCGGTATCATGACAAGTTTATTCCATACAGAATCCGAATTTGTTAACATTTTAGGGTCTGCATAAAGCTCGTTGATGGAATCTGCTTCATCATTGATATCTTTTAATATGTTCAAACACTCCAAACATTTAATTTGATCAGGATCATCCTCCATTAGATTGCAATCGACACCTTTCCATTCGATCGGCTAAAATTTAAGCAAAAACTAAAAGGTAAAATGCCTAAATAGCATTTAAAATTTAGCATAGAAATAAATCACATACTTATGATGTTATCTAATTAATAATATCATTTTCATTAGTTTCGATTAAATTACGTAATAGAAGTTAGTTATAGTGTCATCATGTCCAAAACTTATCATTCAGTTATTAATACTAAATCTTCTCCAAAACTTACTATTCAATTATATATGAAGCTAATTCATACATAACAATTTTTTTATATATATAGCAATTTATAATTTAAGATATTGTATTGTACAATTTTATAAACCATAAATGATTATATATGAAAAATATTCTTATATACATTATTAAGTTAAAATGGAAAATGATTGCGTGATGACAAAAAAAATTGTTACTTAAAACTTGTCCTTTTGCAAAAGGGAAATCTCCATAAAAGTCTTCAAATTTTACCTTAATTTACGAAAAAGTCCCAAACTAAAATTTGTTTACGAATGAATTACCGGTAAAAATGACGATTTAACCCCTTTTTTCCGGTTTACCGGTTTTATTACTTACATGTTTCACTAAAGTCCCATTATTTTACCCTAATTTGCGAATAAGTCCCAAAATAAAATTTACTGATGATTTGACCATTTTCTTCATGTAACATACATTTTATTGGTTTCATTGCTGACTTAGACACCTAATCATTAAATTAGCTGATAAGATGAATACGATGAGTTATATAATGTCACATTTACTGTAAAATTTGATACCCATCTCATCAGCTCATTTATGACTATGTATCTACGTCAGCAATGAAACCAATAAAATATGTGTTTCCAAGAAAAAAGGGCAGAAAATGAGTTGATGTCTGATGAGATAGATATATTAGGTTACATAAGATTAGATAGACAATTTGATATTTCTTATAAACGTAAAAAATAATGCAGTTGTTGTTAGTTTATGTACTTATTGTAGTCTTCGTTGGATGTATTTTAAGTTCCAAAATGCTAAACATAGCATTATATAACTCAACATATCCATCTCATCATCTCATTTAATGACTAGGCATCCGGGTCAACAATGAAACCGGTAAAATGTATGTTACATAGAGAAAAGGGCCAAATCATTAGTAAATTTTATTTTGGGACTTATTCGCAAATTAGGTTAAAATAATGAGACTTTAGTGAAACAGGTAAGTAATAAAACCGGTAAACCGGAAAAAAAGGGTCAAATCGCCATTTTTACCGGTAATTCATGCTTTTTCGTAAACAAAATTTAGTTTGGAACTTTTTCGTAAATTAGGATAAAATTTTAGGACTTTTCTGGAGATTTCCCTTTGCAAAACTAGAAAACAAAGTTATATACTATACAACATTTCATGCATAAAATGTAAATTATTATACCATTTTGTTTAGGATTAAATATTATAAAATTGAGTTATTATAGTCTATGGTAGAGTTCCAAAAGATATCATGAACTTATTTTTAATTGTGAAAAAGAATATTAAAAATAATAATAATTAAAAAAAAAAAGTAAAATATGAACTAACCTTTGGAGGCGCTCCAATTCCATTGGTGCAATAGAGCTTTGCACTGTCCACAAGATTGCAATACTTTAGAAATGCATTTGCAAATCTCTTGTGTGATTTCAGTTGTGAATTCACCCTCACTGCTCTTTTCACTGCTATTGCCCTCCTGTGTTTGTTACAAATTACAAATTAAAATAAGGATCACTTCTATTTATCATATTGATGGTTATTTTAAATATTTGATATAGTCGATACTCAACAGTATTCGGAAGTTACACTTTGCATTCCTCTAGTTACAAATACAACAGTCAACCCCTTAAAGGGAACAGTCAACAATACACCTTTTTAAAATAGGAAGGTTTGAAAAAGGTACACTTTGGGGTTACATGTGCATTAGTTAATCTTGAGAGCATTCCCAATAAAGCTTATTTATTTGGGCAAATAGGTTTTTGAAAGTCAAAAAAATTATTTTGGCATATTTTTTCATACCAAAGTATTCTTACTTTGTTTGTAAATTTACAAGGTTTTATATAGAGATTTTTCACAATGCTAATAATATGAAATTCATTTACATAGTTTTTTTTATAAGACCCATAAATAAGTTTTATAAAAAAGTTTTACTTTTCTTGAACTTTTAGTTTGTTGAGTTGGTAACAACAAAAAAAATTGATAAAATAAGTTTTACTATTGTTATTGCAAAGATTTGAGAGTTTATACTTAGCACCCTTCAAGTTACCGGTATAACAAATCGACCCCTTTAAATAGCAAAGTGTTTGTGATCTTACCTAATGCCTCTTGTGACTGCTAAAAAAGGATCACAAACCACACCAACCAACTCAATTCTATATGTCTTCTTCGGTATAAATTCTTCTTCTTCATCATCATCTTCGACTTTTTCCCAATAATTCTCGTTAATTGTTCCATCTTCTGAGACCTTGTAGCCGATACCCATTCGATAACGTTGATTATGAATGTTTCTTACCATAGCAACTGTTTGCTCAAAAAATGGTTCCCATGCCAATGTCCCATCCATGATCACATCTCTCCCATCGTTTAATGCTGTTACTAATACTGACGAAGCTGCGTCTGTGGACATTTGATGCACCTATATAAAATATTACACTTATAGATGTTATGTTCAAATTATATAAATCCGCATCATGGAACAAGTCTATATGGTTGACATCCTAGCAATTAGGTGGGTTCATCGTGACATGTTTAATTAAATGAGTTGTAATTTTCAACTAATATAACATGTTTAATTAATCGAGTTGAGATTATCAGTCACAATCTGACATATTAGATAAAAAACTGACATCCTAGATAAAACGGGTTCGACCCTGACCCATTTACATTTCAACATTTGAATGAAATAGAAGTTTGAACCTAAACAAGTTATATATATATATATATATATATATATATATATATATATATATATTAGAACATCAAATCTAATCTAATATTAAAGTACTCCTGAATCCACTTATGTCTAAGACGAGACTTGAACCCTCAATCTCAAAGAAAGAGTACAACACCTAAACAAGTTATATGTTACAAACGCCAAATAACTATTTAGATTAAAAGAAACAAAACTACAACTTAGTTGTCCAAATAAGATCAGGATTTTGTTTTTGTATTTTTTTTTTCTATTTTACAAGATTAAACAAAATGTAAAAAATATATAAAAGGGTTGAAATGTTGTCATCATCTTAGGGTTTTCAATTCTAACCTAACCTATTTAATTAAATCGGTATTGACTAAACGATTTGACCGGTTTAATTAAACCAACTGAAAATCTCAAACACTATCCACTAAGTTTGAGTTAGCGGGATGTGTCAAATTTTGTTGGTTCTAATTTGACATGACCCGATATGTTTATACTAGAAAAGAAATTGGAGATTATACCAATTCAGCGGTTGGAAGCATGTCATTGTGATGGCCCTTTAAGTTAAGGGCTTTGTAAATTACGTCCCTCTCCTTGAAGGCATCGGCCTCCACCACCACCGCATTTGTTGCTGCCTCCGACCAAAATCCTCTGCAATATATTACAATTCTCCATTACACTCAATATCATATATAGGTGTGATTTATATAGATTATTATAACAAATAACACATATATCAAATAGATATTTTTATTTATACAGATTCAATTATACCCTCTCATAATTTGGCTTACGTGGCATTTTAATTTTGTTGAAAAAAACCAAACCATCCCACAACCCCGAAATGACATTGTTTTCCATATACTTTAGAGTTAACATTGATATAAAACAATAAATATATACTTATAATTTTGTTGAAAACAAAATAATGGACATATATTTTCCGTGAATTGTAATACTTTTAGTAAATCACTTTTTTGAACAACTTAACAATATATAATAAATGAAATAACACAAAATAAAAAATCCCAACAAAACAAAGCTCGAACATCATCACTTACTCTTTAAGAATTTCTTTGAGAACAGTGCTTTTTCCAGCACCCATTCCACCACCCATGAAAAGAATCACCGGGCTTCTGACTCCGTGAACCTCCGGCCCATTCATCTCTGTGGAGGCAAAGGCATCATTGCTGCCATCGCCCTTTTTTGGGGTTTTAGTTCCGATCACTTTCATTTCCTCCATGATTGTTGAGAATGCTCTTGTTACTCTCAAGTCCTTTGTAATTTTTTCAAATCTTTGTTTTCTGCATGTTAATATAACAATATGATTATAATAAAATATTATGGAATTAAAATTGTTGAGTAGTGATTGAGTTTTATGACATGAAAGTTTATTGATTTTAACTAGAATTAATTAACTAAAAGACTATATAACTAAAAGACTATATATTGTACTTGGTCAAAAGCTATTTTATTATTTGGGATTAGGGTGTGTTTGACACGGAGCTTTTGGAAGCGTTTGGGAGCTTCTAGGTTTTAGCTTTTGACAAAACGTTATATTTTAAACAAAAAACTTCGTTTGACAGTACGAGCGTTTAACTTTTAGTTTAAACAAACGCTCCCAATCTAAAAGCTACTTCATGTAGCGTTTAACAAAACGCTACTGAGCTTTTGAAATCAATTTCCATAATCACTCTTAAAAATATATTTATATATTTATTTATTTTTAATCAATTGTCCTTTTATGTAATTTTATATATTTCAAAAGGTACCAGTTACTTTTGCCAAACACTCATATAACAAATAAAAACTACAGCTTCCCGCTACCAGCTAACGCTACACGCTACCAGCTAACCGCTACCCGTTTCCAGCTAACAACTATTTTTGCCAAACACACCCTAAGTTTGAAAAATGCACATTTGATTTATTAGTTTTTCAAAAGTTCAATAAGCTTAAAAAATATTTAAGAAATTGAAAAATACTTTTAAAACCAACTTTTTACTAACCTCAAAATATAAGTCAAAATTCTTATTTTTGAAATATGTAATATTATAAACTAATCCAAACATTTTCCAAACATTTTTTAGAAAAGAATTATCAACTTATAACTTCTTGTAACCATATAAACTAATAATTATATAAACTAATAAACAATTTTATCAAAAATTGTTTATAATTGTATTTGTAGGGTTTAGACGTTAGTGCGCTCAAGCTATAATAATTAGTTTTATAATGTTTGACAAATTTGAATGTAATGATTTTTTTTTTCAATGATTAAAATTTTAGATGTACCAACTACTAACCATTTAATATTCGTGACATTATCCAAGTTGAATTATTCCACGTCTCATGTTTCCCAACTTGTTCGATTTTTTTACACATGAAAAACATCCTACTCCATCCACTATCCTTTAAATATTATTAAAGAATATAACAATCGTAACGATATATCGCAATAAGATATATAATAGATTGGAGCACTTAGTTTATATTTTAGGTAAGTTATTAAAAATTGCTGTGAAAAATTAACCGGTTAAAAACAAAATTCAGGGAATCGAAGCCGTGACCTTTACAAAATTCAGGGGATGAAGCATATAACTTTTATAAGTATTGTTTCTCTAATTAAAATATCATTAAAACTACTATTCATCGTAATGTAAATTGTATTAGGAGTATATAATATCATTATTCATGTACCAATTTTGTCTATTGTTTTTCAAAACACTAATTAATTTTTTTTCCTTCAATATATAGTACATATATTTTAATAAATTCTTTTGAGATATTTTTATACTGTGTACTATCTAGAAATAGAGTCATAATTTGTCATTACATGCAACTTGAATGAATTCTTTAACCGTTTAAAAAAGACATTTAACTGGAAATTTAAAATCTTGAGTTAATGTTTTTATCAGTTTTCACTTTTGTTTGTTTCAAACTTTCAATCATAAAAACATGAATATAATACTAATTTTTTTCTTTTATCCTTTTTATAAATTCAGTGTTAATGCCCAATTAAAAAAATCTTTATACGTCTTTCTTTATTTCTATACCACTTTATTACTTCAACGATTCCAATTCATTATAAAAACCAATTCATAAAGTCTTAAGCCATTTATAATTTTGAAGTACATAACAATATTCCGATATTCATAAAATAAATAAATAAAAGATGAGAAAAGTCACCTCGTTGCTGTCAACACCATGTTTTTAAGCTTCCTCTCATCAGATCCATCGCTCAACACCTTCCACATAAATATATCTTAAATTGATGTCGAACCATAACCATTAAAGGAATGGACCATAAACAATTATATATATATATATATATATATATATATATATATAT